AGAGCAGCGCCCGTGCAGGAGCGGGGACGCTGCAGAGAGCCGCGAGCAAGCGCCACGCGGGCTCCGGCTTGGGCACTCTCCTCGGCGCGGGAAGGGGCTGCCGCCGCGCGGAGCTGGGCTTCCGGGGAGCTCACGTCGCCCCAGGGGCCAGCGGCCGGGTGAGACTGGGCTGCACTCATCTAGGTGGGCGCCACCCAGGCGGACGCCCGGCTGCGCCTGCCGCCTCCATGGAGCTCTGAGGGACTAAAAATAGCACACTCCCCACACGGCACCCAGAGTGACTCAGCACTGGGACCAGGACCCTGCACAGGACGGCCGCGGTCACGCAGCTCGGGCGGCAGAAACGGACGCGAGTGAGAACAGTCCCTGGGGACGCCGGTGGCCACGCGCACTCCCCGGCCCATGACCGCTTCTGAGAGGACGGCGCACAGAGGAGGAAGGCAACGGGCCAGGGCGGTCCCGCCCTGCAAACACCCGCACCCGCACTGCAGACGCGGCCACCAGCCCTGGCCCGCCAGCCCGCGTGGGGAGGCCTCTGCTTACCCGACTGCTCAGGGCGTGACGAGCATGGCCGCTCGCTTCCATTTCCTCGGGACCGTGAACCTGACACCGGGGTCAGCTGACGCGCCGCCGCACCCTCCGGCACGGCACGGCACACCCCTGCGGCTGTTTCCAAACCGGGCCACTCCAGGGCGGGCACAACCTCTGGGCCGCGCCTGTCAAGCGGGGCTCACTTCTCCCGACAGCTGGCTGTCGTGATCTGCACAGCCACCATGTTACGACCCGGTGACTCACACTGGCTGCCTGGCACGGCACGCAGCGTGGAAGGGCACGTGGTGCCCTCACGCGGGCAGGGCAGACATGCCAGGAGCCACCTCCACGCGGGCATGAACGTCAAGTCTACCCGCCAGATGCCGGCTCCGCTTCGCAACCACCGCAGCATCGCCACAGACGCAGGGGCCTGCAGGCGGCGAGTAGCCGACAGGCCTTCTGGCCAGCAGGCCAGCTCCACCCCGGGCGGCCGTCTGAGCCGGCCGAGCGCACAAGCGGGCTCCAGGCAGCACAGGGGGCAGCGTCTGCAGTTGAGTCTGGAAGTGCTGAGACGCAGCTCATTTTCACAACTGTGACGTGGCCTGCAGGTCACGCTCATCACCGTGTCTTACCAGCATGCCGCGTGGCCACCGACGTTCACGGACGCTGACAGCCCGGCCTCTCGGAGGCAGCGGCCGGCGGTGAGACACGTGCCAGGCCTGTCCCCCGCCGACCTGCGAGCTCAGCAAGCGGCCCTCAGGACACAGGCCTGCCCCCCCCCCACCCGCCCAGGGACCAACAGTGAGGAGCAGCCTGGGGCGCCGGCGGGGTGGGGCCTCAGAGAAGTGGCTGTGGGCATGCCTGGGTCCCACCCTCACCCCCTGCCCAGGGGCGCCCGAGGGCCGCTGTACTGGCCACACCAGTCACGGAACCTGGCCGGTGCTGTCCCTGGAGTTCGTGTGGTTTTCAGTTCCTGGCATCTTTTCTGGATCCATCTGTTCTAAGATGCCTCTACCCTTTGCTGAGGGTGGGTCAGAGTGGCGAGGAGCCTGGCAATGCAGCCAAGTCTCTGGGCTCTGCGGGATGGCCGAGCTCACACGCCAGCTGCAGGCACAGTGCAGACGGTGACGCGAGACGGAGCGGGTGGGAGCGAGACAAGGCAACACTTGCTTTCAGAACGTCCTTTTTATTTGCTCTCCAGCACCACCCACCCCACAACACTTCCAGTGCTTCTCTACCCTCTCTGCCCTGTTGTGACCTTGACCTCTGACAGAAAACAAAGGCAAATGGGCTGCTGCTGCCCACTGTCACCAGCGCCGTCTCCAAGGTTCTGGCCCTCGACTCGTGACCGCAGAGACTAACCTTTGGTGGGAAACCCCTCTGGACAGCTGTCCCTACACGCTGGCCAGCCGCCCAACCAGTCCTGGGGCTCTCACCCACCTGACACCCAGTGGCTCTCGCCTGCCTGTTCTACTCCTGGGCAACAAAATGAGAATCACAATGTCGGGTTCCCAAGGCAGGCCACGGATGCTGCCAGCATCACTCACTACCAGGCCTCAGTTCCACATCTGGAAACAACGAGAACAGCACCAACACGTTTGCGGACAGTTGGTCACTGGCTTCCTGTGTGGCCTCTGCCACCTTTTCCTATTCCCTGACCCTCAACATTCTGGCAACCAGCAGAGGGATGGAGCTCACCCCTTGCCAGTCTCACTCAGCCCTTCTCACTGCGGCGCCGCATGTTTCCATCGGGGCGCCTGAGTCCCCAAGTCCAGAACCTGTCTGGTTCCATCTCTCCAGAGAGGCCTTGCCAGGACGGGGAACGTGTTACCCTGGCACCTCAACGACCATGTCTGCTGGCACTGACCCATGCAGAGACACTTCCCACAGTCAACACGGGGGATCCTCACCCAGATACTAGCAAGTGCAACTTGTGGCCCGGGAAACACTCCACCTCCCAGGCATTACCTACCATGCACAGAGGCCTCAGGCAGCCACGTGCCCTGGGTCCCAGTGCTCCCTGCCAAGGGGCGCACGAGTGTGGAGGGCAAAACTGGGTCCCAGCCACCACCTGACTGCAAAGGCAGAGGCCGAGCGAGACCAGAAGAACCTCCCGGCTGAGCCCCTGCCTGGCCACAGCTCTGAGCGAGGAAATGGCAGCGGCCGCAGGCAGGGGGCCTGGCGCCTGGCCAGCTCTGCAGCGGGTCTGCAGGTGGGCAGATGCCAGGGGTGGGGAACCGCTGGCAGGTGTGCCGGAGAATGCCAGGCGTTTCTGGCGCTTTGATGACTCAAGGCCTCTCAAAGTCTTTGTAAAACTCACAATGATGACAACAGACCAAGGCGCGCCCAGGGAGGCAGCCAGCCACGCCCACCGGAGCCCCAGCGCCCGCCCCAGGAGTGGTACGGCTGTGGCTGCAGCCGCCCAGCAGACCGCCCTGGCCTGACCTGCATCTGAAGACCCTGCCAGCTCCAAGCCCTGCCCGCGGTGCCGCACCCTTGCAGGCCCGAGGGGCCTCGCGGCCCGCGCCCAGCCGTCACCAGCGCCACGTCCACACGCAGTCAGGCGACCGCACAGAGGAGCATCAGACTCCCGCTACGTGCCGGGGAGGACGTGCTCAAGTGCCCCCCGAGGACAGAGAAAGGCGGGGAGACTTGGCCACAGGAGCAGAGGAAGTGGCCTCGGCCGAGCCCGGTGCTCGCCAGGCTGGCCAGAGATGCCCTTCCCTGCCCTCCTCCCCCGCTCCTTCCTCTCCAGGGGAAAGCACTGCTGCCCCTGCTCGCCAACAGCAGAGCGCCCTCCAGCCCAGCTTCCCGACGGAGGAGGAGGGGCACCGAGAGTGCGCAGATGCACCAGAGGCGCAGCATGCGCGCTCCCTGCGAGCGCCTCAAAGCGCGAGCAGGGTCTGTACTTTAATCTGAAAGCCTGAGTTCGTAAGGAAGCCACAGGCAAGCACGTGGAAAATGATGTGCCGACGAGAAGACATATCTAGCTTCCACGGGGCCCCCAGCCGTCCAGAAACAGGGGTCGGTGGCATCACCCAGCAGGACTGAACCAGCGCCCGGAGCCCCGTCTGTGCTGGGCCTGTGCCTCTGACTCAGGCAGGGGACGCCTCCCCCTCAGGCCCGAGGAGCCACTCAAAAGGCCCACTGTGCCGTGGCCAGCCACTCAGCCACAGTGGACAGCCACTAAGCAGTGAGAAGAAACCCTGAGACCACAGGACGCACAACACGGGTCTTTCTGAAGGGGCACAGCCGTGTCCCGCAGGCAGCAGCCGGGGTGCGTCTGCCGGGGCGTGCACACTGGCTCCCACCCCCCAGACCGAGGCGGCAGAGGCGCACGGGGAAGCGGGCCACCGAGCCCAGACCTCGGCTCCCGGGAGAGGTGGACAGACGCCCTGAGGGAGCGGCCCGGGTTCTCCGGGTGCTCGGGACTTTTCCTGAAGCCCAGCACCGAGCGGGCACGCTAGCCCGCCCCTGGGCGTCGGGCTGCCGCGTCTCCACAGCCTGGGCCGAGCCCAGGCACCTCCCAGTGCCCTCCGACCGTCACCCGCCCCTAAGTTTCCTTCTCAGCGCCTCACTTCTCAACACCCGAGAGTGCAAGAAATCCGGGCAAGCGCCGGTTTTCCATGTTTTCTACCAAGAGGACAAGGTCTGGCCCTGCCGGACGACACAGGTCTTGAGAGCACCCAACAGCGCCCTGCCGCCTGCCCGCGCGGGGTCCTGCTGGGCCCCGGAGAAGGGGCTGTGACAGCCAGTACCAAGCCCGTGGCCTGCTGGCGGCTCCTCCCGCAAGCGCACCACTGCTCTGCAAGCCCGCCACGAGCTCTCGCAGCAGCTCGCACTCAAGCCTCCCCACGCCGTCTCGCACACTGGCGGCCTCCCCGAGTGCGTGAGCACCGCCGCGCACGGCCGCTCGGCCTGAGCCGGCTGTCCGCTGACCCTGCTCCTCGTCTCCGACTCTCCCTTCGAAGGCACTGACCACCGCCAGCGCGCATCGCCCGCCCCGGGCTGCGCCGGCTCCGCGGCCCCAGCCAGGCGGCGTCCGGCTCCCCTTCTCTTATAGCCGACTGCAGCCGCCCCGGCCCTCGCTGCTTCACGCTGAGTGCCGGCTGCGGCATGATTCAGCAGCTCTGGCCAAGGAAGAAATTAGAGCCGACTCCTATTTTCCTCTCACCGTGAGTCAGCAGCTTCTTGGATTTTGCGTAGCTTACCTGAAACAACCTACCACTTTCTAACACCATCTGCATTTTGAGTCCTCCCCAGCCCAGGTCACCCCGGCCTGCGTGTCGGGTGGAAACCCGCTTGCCCGTCCGCCGGCCCCACTCTGCCGGAGGCCTCCGGGCGCCCTGCCTGACGCCAGCTCCGGCGGGGACACTGCTGGAGGCGCAGGAGGGCTGTCGGGGTGCAAGGGGCGGGCGGCGCTGCAGGCGCCACTAAACGCAAGGTGGCTGGTCACACGGGCGCGGAGCACACGTGGGCTCGCGGGGCTCAGCGGTCAGCACTCTCCGGGCACGTGGACGAGCCCTCTGGGTCTGTGTGCGCGTCAGGCCCACACTGTCAACAGCGGAATGGCAGCCGGCTTTGTGGGGGGCAAGCGCTCACAGACAACGCAGGGTGAGCAACAGAAGAAGAACTCGTGGTTGAAGCGGCTGGCTGCAGTTCTACGACTGTATTTTCGGTGCAAAAAGGATGTAAGCAGCATTTTACCTGAAGTGTCAAGAGCAATAATCTTCAAATATCTTCTAAGAAACCAACAAATCGCGACGCGTAGCTAGGTAAATACAGGACTCTTAAAACGTGAAAACTGCCGCCCCACGGCTAGGAAGGCATCCGGGACGACAAGGGATGTGCGAGGTGCTACATTCCAGAGGACACTAGACAGCGGCTCAAAAGTCACGGCGATTCAAATACCCCATACTGAAGGTCACGCTGGAGGTGGACCGTCAGCTGCTGAGCTGTAACTGACCCACTGGAGAGAACAGGGAACATTTACTGAGACGAACTGCACCACGCTAAGTGGAAGGAGGACAGGTTCTGTGCACATCCCCATTCCCACGGCACACCTGAGAGAAAGTGCCACGCGGAACTCCACACGGAGAGCACCGCCGAGGCAAAGCGCTGGCGCTCACGGCGCGGGGCAGGCTCGCGAGGGCCGGTGCGCCAGGGGCCGGGGGGCGGCGGGACTCACCTCGTCAGAAGCCGACCGCAGACACTGGACAGCAGCCTGCTTTTTCATCTCTTCCAGAGTTAGATCGGAGCACTTCCGCTTACTCTTTCCCCATTTCTTATAAGCTCCTTTTTCCCAGCCCAGGAAGATGTCATTCTCCTGCAAGAAGCCACAGGAGGTTGAGTGAGCAAGATGTTATTAGCTCCACACACTGCCGCTTCCCCAGACAACGTCACTCACGAACCGGAGACCACTGAACGGAGAAGCCAGAGCGGGAGGCGCTTCCGCATAACCCGCTGGGCTGGAACCCCGATTTCAAGTCCTGACACTGTGAATGTGCCCGAGAGCGCCGCCACCTGCGGGCGTGGGCGTGGACGAGCGCTGGCGCTTGAGCTGCAGGGTGAGCCCGAGCCTGGCACGGCGCAATGGCTTCTTCTGCGCTTCCCACCCTGCTGGCACTCACGGGACTACTCAGCTTTTACCATTTAGCAATTATCAATGGTTCATCCCTATTTCTGTATCTTAGAATCTAAAAATGATAAAAATATTTTGCTAGCATTTTAACTGCTGTCTTTCACTTGATCTCATAATCCCACTGTTACAAACCTGAAGAGGCCCTCCCTGGGGGCGCAGGGGTGCGTCTCAGCACTGAGGCCGTCCCAGCCACTGCAGCAGCAGCAGCGGACCATCCCCGGCCAGGGGGGACCCCCAGGCCCAGCAGGCCCCTCTTGCCTCCCGCTGCTCCCCTCAGCAGTGTGTCCAGTACCTCTGCCTGTTCTGCTCCCCACTGTCTCTGGGGAGTCCTCTCACCCCCACAACCCCACCTCTGGCCTCTACCCCAGCACCTGTACGTATAAATAAGTAAATCTTCATAAAAAAGTAAATCTGAAGAAAATTTGAAAAGGAAAAAAGCAAAATCATCCATGGTCTTGACTGCCCAGTGCAAATTACAATAGTCCGGTCTATTCCACTTGGTCTTTCCTGCTGCTTTAGGGAAATTCACAGCTGAATTCACAGCTTCCTGCGGGCTCGTGCTTACCTTACTTACACTGTAACGGTTAACCCACTTCAGTGCCAAGGTGTGCTGTGGCGTGTTTCAAAGTGCAGTTTTCTGTAGCTAGTTCCCTAGACTGGGGCTCCAAGTAACACTGTAACTGCTGCGTGGCTTTCACTGGGTAAACTATGTCCCTGGACATAAACAAGGGGACCAGCCACTAAGAAGAGCAATGACAAAAGCAAGAAAATGACCAGGAAGAGCTGTGTGGCCTGCTGCGGCCCCCACGGACAAGCAGAAACGGACGAGTGAAGGAGGAACATCAGGACTCAGTCACTTTAACCTATCATCAGTTATCTAACCCAGATAGAATTACATGGAGCCTCCAGATAAGAGGGAGGAAGCGCCTCCTGCCACACTCCCGAAGCAGCACACACGTGTGCAGGTCCTGGGGCATGCCTGCAGGTCTTTGAACCTGAAAGACACATTTTCTGTCTGAGTAGCACTCGCTACCTCTCCCAAAGGCAAATGTGCTCGATGGTCAAAGAAGAACCGTGGGCCCGTGTCCGTGTATCCAGCAGTTAGCTGGACCAAGCCCAGAACCTCCCCTCGCACTCCCCTGGAGGGTGTCTCCGGAGACTGGGCTTTCCAGGATCAGAGGGCACCTTACCAATGCCGCGCTGCGCTCCTGAGGCAGAGGAAATGTGTCCTTTCCGCTCTCGTCCGGTCTGCGTGACAAGGGAGACGGACGGCCCGCGCACTGACGGACCAGGAGGCGCCCCGCTAACCCTAAGCAGCGCGCCTTTTACCCAGGTCCTGGGCATGCTGAGCCTCACCTCGCCAGACTGGCTCGCTCCCCTCACGGAGCGTTACCAGCCTCTGCTGAAGCTACCCTGTTGCACACGCAAAGGTCCCAGCAGTGTCCCCACACAGAGTGAAGGGCTTGCTTTAGTCATACGGACCCGAGCGCTTCCTGAGGGCAGAGGACTGCACTCACGGAACCCTTGCCCGTGCCCTTGGACCCGGCACTTCTACTCCTGGGAACTTTCCGAAGGAAGCCGTGCAGGAGTGCAGGACTCAGTGACGACGCACAGCCGCCCACCACGGCGCACGCGCGAACACACTGGATGTCGGGAAAGGACTTGGCTAAGTGCGTCCTCACCCCGCAGGTGTCAGGGCAGCGCGCGGCTGGCATAGTTACCGAGTCCACCTTCTGCCACGGCAAGACACTCACCACGGATGGGGGAGTGGCTTATGCAACAGCATCAGCTGGCTTCTGGGTAAGACACACCCACCCTAATGGGCACCACAGGTAGGCAAAGAGCTTATCTCTCGGTGACTAGGGTAAGCAACCATGATTACTTTCTGGCTTTTCTGGTAATGAGGCCTCTCCTCTAATAGTCCTAAGCTTTTGTTCATTTAACAGAAAATGTTGACGCCGACAAAAACAAGAGCCGGCGGTCATCACCGGAATAGGTGTCTGGCTAGCTCCACGCTTCTCCCGGCAGCCCTCAGCTTAAGCTTCATCCATCCATCCGCAGCCAGTGTCGGCCTGCTCCGGAAAGGCCAGCGCGTGCTGGGGCCCCGCCTGCCAGGGCCACCCAGCCCAGGGCAACCACGGCCGGCCGCAGGCGCAGCCCCCGCCACACTCTGGAGGCCCTGGGGGCCGCGGACCCAGGGCACACCCTCCCCTGCCCGTGGGTGAGCAAAGCTGCCCCCAGGATGGTCACGGAGGCAGGAGCTTAGCAAGTGGATAGGTCTGGGCCCGAATGGGGAGGAATATCAGGCAAAGAAACCAAGGGCTGGCGCCAGGCCCGCCGCTCTCCCTCAGAGGGTCGAGTATTGGAAATGGGCCGGAAGGATAGATCAAGGATACAGCGGAAGTCCTTCCCCCAAATAAAACTTTACGCATCTTTTTGTTGTGAAATTCAAACTGTAAATCAGTGCGCTGTTCTCTACTGGGCAAGACAAGTCTGCTACCAAGCGTGGGATTCTTTCCCGCTTAGTTGGGGTTCTACGTGCCCCATCAAAATGCTGCGCTTTTAAACAACACGCGCTTTTAAACAACAGCTTTACCGGTGACAACCACATTCCGTACAACCTGCTCTCCCAGCGTGCATGGTGGCGGCTCATTCCGATACACGGGGCCACGCGGCAGCTACCGCAGTTCGTCCCCCTAAGGAGGCCCCGTGCCCACCGGGTCCTGCTCCCTCTGCGTGTCCAGGCGCCACTGCCCACCACGCGTCACGCCTGAGGACTGCGCTGCGGGACGCCTGGCCCCTGAGCTCTCCCCGACGGGCCTTGGGCCTCGGAGCGAAGCCGCGGCAGACGCCGGGCGGCTCTGCAGAGCTGCCAGCTGTTTCCACAGCGGCTACGCCACTCGCCATCACCTCGTGCAGTCAGGGTCCCGGGTCTCTAAATGGTCAATGCTGTGACTGTGTTTTCAATCGTCATCACCCCAGAGGCGACGCCTCCTCCCCATGGGTCCGACTCCCTGACGACAGTGTGCCCAGCATCGTGTCACGTGCCTGCTGGCCACTGGGCGCCTCCTCCAGTGGGTTAGATCCTCCGCCTGTTCTAAGGCCCACTCTCCTCCCGTGGCGCGTGGGAGCCCTTTAATCTGGATGCACACTGCTCACAGATATGTGACCTGCAAGCATTCTCTCCAAGTCGATGATTATCTTTTCCTCGATGATGTCCTTTGAAGCAAGAAAGTTCTTGACGGTGATGAAACGTCTTTGGCTACGTGGACTTGGGTTTCGTATCTAAGAATCGTTACTTAACCCAAGTCACAAAGATTTACTGCTGTATTTCCTTCCTTGACTGCTACAGTTTCAACTCCTAACACTCAGATCACGAGCAAAGGCACGCGGGCCTGATGAGCCACCCTGAGCCCGCAGGGCCGGTGCGGGGAGGGCTGGGAGCGGCTGGGGAGTGGGGTGCTGGGCAGACCCCAGTGGCTGGGGGGGCTCGGATTCCAACCAGGCTGAAGCCAGCTTTACTTCCAGAATTTCAGTTACATGACACATTTTTCCTCCTTAAGCCAATTCAGGCCACACTTTTTTTTTTGCTTATGAATAATAAGGTATTATTAAAATCACAGGAAAGTGTCAGTAATAAATCCACTTCTCGCTGCTCAAAAGAACAAGGATTTGCCTCTAAAAAACAGGTAGTTCTAACCAAGCAAGCGTAATTTCAGTAGCTCCCCCCATTCCTTTTCCCACAGGCGCCTGCTGGTCCCGCCGGTCCCCTTCAGTCCACCTCCAGATGCCCACCCAGCGCGCCCCACCGCGAGCCAGCCTGGAGGGAGGCACCGACTCGCAGCGCTCAGTCTCCTCCACGCCCTCACCTCCTCCCTTCCCGCCGCACCACCGCCCCTCAGGCCCTCCGGCTTCGGTGACCTCTGCCCCAGCTGCATCCAACGTCCACACGGCCAGAGCATTCCGGCCCCTAGCGGGGCGCCTCCCCAGGACCACGCTGTGTCTCTGGCAGGCACACCATTCAGGAGGTGACTAGAATCAGAGACGTGTTTAAGCTATTCAAGATTCACACCCCACAGCTTTTCCGTACCCCACGCGAAACACGTGCGAGTCACACCGACGACTTCAGGGGCACGGCGCTGGGGGCCGCCAGGACCGCCGCCTCCCACGTGCACACCACTTCACGCTCCCCTCGTATGGACGTCACTGAGTCATGGGTGTAAGTGGGGTGGCGCGCGGTAAATGCAGCAGATACTTGAGAGATTAGGTGGGCCGAGGCTCCGCAGCAGTCTGCAGGAAGACAGCGCCGGTGGCGGCAGCACACGCAGGGCCTCTCCGCAGTGACGGGCGCGCGCAGGCCTGAGCCACGCGGGCGGGGCAGCAGCCGGCCTGCGAGTCAGGTTCTCACTTAAACTGTGGGCGAGAGAGAGACGCCGTGGCGTGGCTGTCGCCCCAGAGCTACGGGCCGAGCTGGCCGCCAGAATTCAGCTCAGGGGCCAGAACTGAGCGGAGCCCCGCGGTCAGGGCTGGGAGGCGTGGGAAACACAGACACAGGGACGCGCGTCAGAGCAGAGACGCGTCACGCAAGGGGAGGGTGCACAGAGGGTGGCGACTCGCTCAGCACGCGCCAGCAGACCGGCGCCGGACCTCGCGCACAGACCCCGCACACAGCTGCGCAGAGCAGCTTTCACGGCCTCCAAAGCGGGACGGAACCAAAGCGCCCTCTGGCACGTGCTGTGGCCCGCCCCGCCAGCAGGTGTTACTCAGCTATCACAAGAAGGGAGCATGCAGGCAGGCACGAGGCACCCTAGACCGCTGCCGAGTGAAGGCAGCCAGCCTGCAATGGTGTCTACTGATTCCAATTCCGCAACATTCCAGAAAGGCAGACTATGAAGGCTGTCAGGAAAACCCGCCAGCCCGGCAGCCAGAAGAGGAAGGAACAGACAGGTGAACCCAGGACTTTAGAGCAGGGAAGTGACTCAGCATTGAAGCTGTGGTGACAGATGCCACAGCTCTGTTCACGCCCAGAGAATGAACCAAAGCATGGACGCACAGTGACACGATGCATCAGAGTCGGCTTGTCAGAAGTAACCGGCCGGCGAGGGCTGTGGGGGGCTAGGCGCACGTCGGGGGTGGGGGTGAATGGGAAACCCCTGCACCTGGCTGTGAATCTAAACTTGCTTTCAAAAATGCGATCTTAAAAAAAGGCTCTCCTGGGGCAGAGTGCTGCCCTGCCCGGGGGCCTGAACAGCCAGGGGAGAAGCAGACCACGCGAGCCACGCCTCCCATGTGCCAGGGCAGTGAGACCCTGAGGAGACGGAGGGGCAGCTGCAGAGGTGTGCTGACATCGGAGACTGTGCCCTCAGGAAGGAGGCCCTGGTGAGGCGAAGCCAGCGGGCAAGCTGGGGAGGCTCTTGGGGCTAAGGCAAGAACACGCCGTGCCGGAGCCAGGCCACGACCCCGAGGGGGTGGGGCACCAGGCCTCTCCGGACCGGCCCTGCCAACAGGCACGGCTGTGGGGCAGTGCAGGCCCCGGGGGCGCTTCTGTGTGGATGGCCAAGTTCTGGTTTCTAGCTGGGGTTAGCCATGCGTGCACGAGCTTGGCAAACCCACCGCACCCTTTCTGTACGTGCACTGAGACTCCACAGTGCGGGTCGGGGAACAGCCTCTTCTCGCGCTCACGCAGGAGGCACGGGTGCCCACGTCTGCTCTGCGCGCCCTGCCCTGAACAGCCTGCAGCCGCGCACAGCTTGGGGCTGCTGTGGAAGGGTGGCGTGGAAAGGCTGATAACAAGGGCAAACTTGCAGAAAAAGCAGAACGCGCAAAACCATGAGTGACAACACTCGTGAGTGCTCTTACGTAACACACAGAGTGTCCTCTGTTTTTATGTATATACATATATATTTTTTTATATCATTGCTCATTTTGTGTTCTATTTCTTTAAAGCTCTTAGAAGCTTTAGAAACTTGTAAGAAAGTAGCACACTCAGGCACTGCTCCCTAAACCTTCAGAGGCCGAGACTCCCCGAAACAGGAAGCGCTGCTCTGAAACATTAGGGAGACCGTCTTTTTGGTGGTCCAGTACCCTGCCACTTTTGGGGTGCGCTGGCACTCTGGGAGCTTACAGCCCAGCCACCAGAGACCCTCAGCTTAGTATAAGGTCAGGGGCGCGCCACAACCAAGCTGCCCTACTGGGAGGAGAGGCAGCCTGCTCTTCTTCTGGGCAAGCAAAATTCTAGAAGGAAGTCAGCAGGCAGGGAGAGTGAGGCCTGACTAAAGCACCAGACGAGACGAAGCCCTAGGATGGGGTGCTGGACCGGACACTGGTACAGCCACCGCAGGGACAGCACAGGGAGCCCTCCAAAATGCAGAAATACCTGGGCACTTATGAAGGGTAAGAAAACACTCATTTGAAAAGATAGTTGTACACCTACATTCGCTGCAGACTATTCACAACCAAGGGCTGGACACAAGCTAAGTGCCCACGAACGGATACGCAGATAAGGAGGTGTTGCACACACGGTGGAGTACTATACAGCTATGAAAAGGCAAACTCCGTAGAAAAGGGCAAACTCCTGCCATTTGTGGTCATGAATGAACTCTGAGGGAATTACAAGAAGCCAGACACAAAAAGACAAATACCCTATTATTTCACTTGCATGTGGAATATAAAAAACTAAGTAAGATGAACAAACAAAAGCCAAACGCAGACACAGCGCAGACTGGCGGTGACCACAGAGGGAGGAGGCTGATGAGGGTCAAGTGCATGGCGAAGGAAAGAAGCCAGACACTCCGTGATCAGGGTGTATCTCACAAAGATGTGGAGGCACGCTGCCGCATACCTGCAACATGTTATAAACCAATGTTACTCCAGTACAGATGGGGAGAGAAAAAGCCAGCTGACATGCTGGAGCCAGGGCCTTTCGTGATTCTGTTACAGGGCCCGGCAAGCTGCCGCCGCGCCGGCCGGGCAGCCTGAACGCCCGTGCTCCCCAGGGCTGCGAGCGCGCTCTGGCTGCCGGGTGCGCCGGCCACGCACATTCACCTTGCTTGGACTTCCTGGAGAGAAGGACGAATGGTCTCCATAACTGTCAGAACTAGTGACCATCAGAACTGCACGTTTTCTGACAACGTGCTTCTAAGTCAGGCCCCTAAAATCTCAAGGAACCTGGAAGCAGGTGATGAGCGGGGGTTGCCGGGAGACAAGCTGCGCAGCCCGCGCTGGTGAAATCCTGTGAGTCTTCCTGCAGGCTGAGGGCACGGCTAGCGCCTTCAGCCAACAGGACGCTGCTCCTGCCGGCAGCGCGGGTAACGGTGATCCAAGCAGCAAAGGCTGCCCACGAACCCACCTGCCCGCGAGAGCTGCCGGCCCCACCCTCAAAGACCCTCAGCTTGGGACAAGGTCAGGCGCGGGACCACCCCACTCGCTCCGGCGGGCTCGGCTCGCGTTCGGGGCAGAGGCAGAGGCGCGACTTCTCCCGGACCCAACACCTGGTTGCTCTCTGCTTTACACTCAGAACTGAATGGCCCGCTTCCCAGGGGCTACACGGCGCAGGGCCACGCTGCTGCTTGGGAACACACATTACCTAGTAAGCAGGTGAGGTGAGACGCTGAACTCTGGGATGTCAGAAAATGACCTCAAAGTCTAGCTACGACGTGTGGCCTCCTGAGGTGCAGAAGCCTCATTCCGAGGCAGGCCACCAGCCGGCCCCCGCCCGCCCGCCAGGCTGCAGTCGGCGCTAGCGCTGAGGGCCGCTAGCCAGGGAGCCGGTACCCAAACTGAAGCCGTCGCGGACGGGGGAGTCCACGCTCACGGTGCTCCCCACGCCTGCTCTCTGCAGAGAGACAGACACGCAGACAGCACACCGCCGCACGTCAGTACCTGCTCCTGGAGGTCGTAGTCACAGCTGTCGTGCAGCAGCAGGCTGAGGACATAGCGCGTGTAGACCACGGCGTCGACGCCGCACTTCTCCAGCTCCTGCCCCAGCCAGGTCTGCACGGGGCCCAGCGCGTGGAGCAGAGACATTGCAGGCGCAGATGCAGGGCCCGGGTCAGAGCTGGCGGGGCTCTCCGATGGTAAGCCACCCACGGCGACGGGGCGGGTGGGGCGCATGAAGTTAGGTGGCCGGCATCCTGAGGCCGCGGGGCGTCTCCTGCAGGCGCTGTTCTGCCGGGGCCTGGAGCGGAGCTGCACTCCAGCGAGGAGGAGGGGTGCCTGACATCTAGGACGAGCCTCTACTCCTGCTGCCAGTCACCATGGAGAACAGAGCCCCTCTTCAGGCACGAGCAGGGAGCCGTCGCCCTGATCCCAACGCACAGAGACGGGTCTCTACTGTGACTTCACATGGAGGCCAATGCAGTTTCCGGCAGAACCTACAAAAGCGAGAGAGAAAGCTGTGTGTGCCGTGGACAGCTACGGCCAAAGACTGAGCTTTCCAAAAATAGTCCAAAGGACTTGTTCCTCTTTATTAAAATACCTTGGTGTCTTAAACCACAGTTGCTGTTGTTTTAATTTAATTTCTTTATTTATGCACACAGAGCTGGGATACAGGCCAGAGGTGTGGGGCGGTGAGAGGATTTACCGGAGACAGAGCGGGGAGCAGAACAGGCCGACTGACGAAGTCCACTGCGGAGGGGGCAGCGGGCAGGTTAGAAGAGGTCTGCCACACCCTGTGGGCCACTCCCTGGCCAGGGAATCGAACTCAGGCCACAGTGGCTGTGGACAGCTTGATAGCGCTGAGACTCACCCCGTGCCCCCAGGGGAGCCCACCGGCTCAACTTTTTAATGAATTTCAGCAATCAAAAAGCTACGAAAAATGGTTTGTCAAGAAATTTTATAATTGCTAGTAAAGGCATCAAGTCAGAAATACACTCTTCAAAGATTTAAGACTACCTCTGGTATTTATAGATATTTATAAATAACTGTGTAGTTACCTACAATGGTAACTGCAGAGTAAAATTTACATCATTAAATCATTCCACTCTCAAGATCATGTGACAGGGGATCCCCAGGAAAAGGGGAGGTTCCAGGACTCCTGCCCCTCCCAGAAGGTCTAAGAAGGAAGCATGTGTCCACTGTCAGCCTGCATCAACCCTACCCTCCTGGCCATGCGTCTGCTGTCAAGAGCTCGCGGAGCCCAGGGTGGCCTCTGACCTGACCCACACCTGTGGCCCGCAGCCCTGGCCCTGCCCAGCAGTCTTAGCTGGGAAGCCCTCCTCAGAGCAAGGCAGTGCCCAAGGGGGGTGCTGGGGAGGAGGAGCGAGGGTCTCTCACGGACTGGCAGCCACTCGATGACTCAGCATCGGCTAGTGTTTCTGCATGGAAAGCCGCACTATGTTCACAGACCACAGTTCAGTCGCAGGTCTCCACATTATGATCATCAAAGTGGCTGCTGAGTTCACCTAGCCCTAGATGTCAGAATTCTTCAGCACGGTGACAAAATGACAGGCTTTATGCCTTCAAGAAGTCTTTATAGAGATGCACCCCAAAAGGTCCTTTTTCCCTCTTAAATAAAAGGACTAACTTTATGTCAATTTTTTTTTAGATTTATTTCTTTATGCACACAGAACTGGGGTCCAGGCCAGAGGTGCAGGGGGTGAGAGGCGTCACCAGAGACAAAGCGGGAGCAGGACAGACCGACTAGTGAAGTCCACTGCTGAGGGGAGCAGCAGGCGCGTCAGGAAGGGTCTGCCGCGCCCTGGGGGTCACCTCTGGGGCGAGGACTTAACTGGCACTGAGGCGGCTGCAGCGAGCTTGCAGTGCTGCGTCCTGACCCGCTGCCCCACCAGGGAGGGCCACTTTATGTCAGTTTACAGGATGAAAAAAGAAAAAACCACACGCAGAACGCCATCCAGGTCAGAGGGGAGGCAGGAGTACCCACCGCAGCCGAAATGAAAAGCCTGTTCTCTGACAGGAACACAGCTGTCCAACAGAGCCCAGAACCCTAGCCCAGTGAGGCTCATCACCGAGATTCTGGACGCTTGTAGAATAACTACTGTAAAGTGATGAAGTGACTAAATAGAGAAATTAAGAAAACCAACTAGGGAAAACGAACCTGACCTTTACTCTAACAAATACAAATTTTCAAAGTATGTTTACTTAGAAACAACAAATTAAAGGAAGATTTTTATTATTCTGAAAATGCACACAGCTCCAAGTGGTGACAGCCACTTAGTCACAGGAGAAACGCCCGGCAAGCCCCACCACTGAGGTAAGGAAGCAAAGGCAGCAAACACATGTGCGTGGCTCGGGAAAAACCGGCAGCGACCGAGTGAAGCAGTTCCCGCCCGACTAAGCACCAACCAACTTTCAAAAGATCCGTGGAAATTGGACGCTGACCAGCGCCCTCTGCGGCCCGACCACGCGCTCTACCCTGACAGGCTGCCCCGGGCTCGCAATGGGCGTGCTGCTCGGCGGGCGACGGGCCGACCGGCGAGGCGGTCGCAGCTCCTCGAGGGTCTGGCGTCCGCGCCAGCACATCCAATACATCCCCGGGGACGCCTGACCACCAACGAGCCGTCACCTGGCGGACGGCTGCTTTGCGCTCCTGCACCCCGAAATCCTGCTTCGGCTAGTCGCCGGCACCGATCTGGGTGTGACTCGCGCGATGTCACTACCTACAAATCAATTTCCCAGTTCGCCCTCTCGGTCCAACAGTTCCACCTACTGACAGGATTTTCTGTTCACACTCATGCCAGTTGGCCCCAGCGACAAGAATCTGCACATCACACACAACCACAGTCAGCTGTCACAGCCCCTGAGGCCACCACGCCCTCCTCTACTTCGCCGATTCTCACATCAACCCCGACCTCCTGCAGGCCCTCCTCACCGGCCTCATGGCTCCCGGGTGCAGGGGTTCGAAGCCTTCTGGGCGGAGCAGCTGCCAAGCACGACACCACCCGTGCCGCCCACGGCTAACTGGCAGGAAGGCCTGGCAGGGGCAGGAGACTTATGCTCGGACACCTCCCGAGGAGCTGGCGCTCTCCGCCGGGAGCGGCTGGCGGGGGCTCGAGAGGGGAGACGGTGACTGCGGTCCTTCCCGGGGTGGACACCCGCAGCGCCAGCATGCAAATACCTGGCCACCCATGTTCGGGGCGGACTTCATCCTGACCACTGAGGGCCTGAGCAGAATAAGGGCTGACTGGAAAAAGTTCTCTCTGCCTGTGTCTGCACCGGCAGTGTGGCCTCCGGCCTCCACACCGGGACGGACGCCGTCCGCTGCCCTGCTGCTCGCTCAGACCCGGACGGGCCGGTGGCGTCAGACCCTGGGCCTGGGCAGTTCAGCCTCCGCGGTGACGCGGGATCGGGGCCAGGCCGCTGGCTTCTCTGCAGAACGCGCATTTAGGCCTCTCAGGACGGAGCTGCCCAGCTCTGTCTTCCGGCTTCCAGGGCAGGGCCCACCAGTGCCACAAGGGTGTCCCTGTGCCTTTCACTATAGGAAAATATCCATGTGTAACATCTTTTAGTCCTAAAACATAAAAAGGTAACAAATTCCAGTGAACTCACCAGCCAACCCAGAAGGAAGCTGTCACCATGTACCTGCCCATCCCCCACAGCCTCCCTCCCAGCAGCAGCCACTAACCTAAATTCTCCCATTTCTCTGAACTTTTCAAAAGCTAAAGTTTGTCCAAAATGCACATATGCTTAATATAGTGTCTGGCTGTGCTTTTATTTTTTAAGTTTTTTTTTAAAGATTTATTTGTTTATGGACACAGCACTGGGATGCAGGCCAGAGGTGCAGGGTCAGTGAGCGGCTTCACCAGAGGCAGAGCGGGGAGCAGAACAGGCAGATCACCAAGTACATTGCTGAGGGGAGCAGCGGGGAGACAGGAAAGCTGTCCTGCGCCCTGTGGGCCAGGTCCTGCCCGGGGACTGAACTCGCACGGAAGCAGCCGTGGCCGGCGTGCAGGGCTTAACCCTTTACGCCAGCAGGGAGGGCCCCGGCCGTACTTACTCTTGAGCCCTGTAAAAACGGTGCTATGTAGAATGCATATAATCTGCGGGGATTTCCTTTTTTCGGTCAGGGCTGTTTCCATAATTCCTTCCAAAATTCCATGCTGTATGCAGAAACTCACTCATTTTTACTGTCTCTAATGCCCCACTGGGTAAGGTCACATGCCACCTGAGCAGTCAGTGAGCGGGAGCCTCTCCCACGCTCTGTCATCACAAACCCCAGGTATGGAGACGGCCGGGGGCTGCCGGACTGCGTTCGTGAGCACCAGCCCACAGCGGGCTGCCAGGCTCCAGGGCGCACACACAGTGAACTTGGCCAAATAACGAAAGTTACACCCCCAAATGTCAGCTGCGCAGCGCTCCAAGCAGTGGGGAGCCCTGTGCGCCCTAACCTGTTCCTTCGTTAAGCCTGTTCCTCAGCGGACCTCCTTGGGCTTTAACCTGCACTTCCTCATCAGTAACGACGCCACCTTCCTACACGCCGCTGGTCACAGACTGCCTCTTCTCGGAACTCACAAAGGATTTTACTTGTTTTGCTGTTGGACAGTTTATTCGTGGGGTCCTGACCTCTTGCTAGTTTACGTCTGTCTACGTCTGATACCAGGATTTTTCCTAACTTGCGGCTCACCATTTTATTTCCTTCATGTTAGCCTTGATACATTAAACCCCCCACTTTAGCGGCTATGCTGATGTCAGTCCTTCATTTACTGTCGCCACTCAAAGCGCGGTCCCCGGGCCGGCAGCAGCCCCGAGGAACCTGGGAGAGGCGGCACGGAAGCCCTGCACCAGTGGGGTTCCAGCAGGACTGTCAGCAGACATCAGGGAGACGCTGGTGTTTCCTCCACAGTCAAGCTTCCTCCTACCGCCGCGGCGGGCAGCCCTGCCCTCCCCCCCACCCCTGCCCCTCGCCGGCCCCTGCTGCCGCCCGGAATGGGACGGCAGAGCCGCCTGGGCACGTGACCCCAGGACGGCTCAGCAGGGCTCCCGACGTGGCGGCGTGGCCTGGCCTGGCCGCTTCTCTGGCGTCACAGGAGCAGCACGCCCCACACCAGGAGGCACGGGGAACCCAGCCAGGTGGCCACTGGCACGTCGCTGCTCTGGGACTCGGCAGAAAAGCCTGGTGCTGGAGCCGTGGGGCTGGGGCGGCGCCACAGTCCACCCTGTGAAATCTAGTAAGACACTCAGGTCTAACCCACTTGCAGATCATCTATGCCGGGCCCTCCCTGGTGGCGCGGCGCGTCAGAGCGCAGCACTGAGAAGCTAAAGCCGCTTCCGCATGAGTTCGATCCCCGCCTGCCCCGGAGGTGACCCACATGGCGCGGCAGACCTCTCCTGACCTGCCCGCTGCTCCCCTCAGCAGTGTACTTCGTCGATCTGCTTGTTCTGCTCCCTGCTCTGTCTCTGGTGAATCTTCTCACCC